CATTGGCCTTGGCCATCACAGACACTTCTCTTCTGAGTCCTTGATCTGGAAGATTCCAGGCTTAGCTATTCTGCAGACTGAATTCACCCCAAACCTGGTCTCTTTCCCATTTTTCACTGCCTAATGGAATCTCCATCTGGACCTTCTGGCAGCTCTACTTTGGCCAACTCATGCTGCTCCAAAGGATACAGCCCCAGGCCAGAGGGCCAGGAGGCCTGGGTTCTACCACCAGCAGCAGGTGACCCTAGATAGGTTCCTCTAGTAGCTTCACCATCCATGTGTGTGTATGATGTGTGTCTATATATATGATGCAAAAAAGTACCCAAGGCTCTCTTCTGATTCACAAAGGAACTAACCATCCTCACTTCCCTTCCCCCTTCCAAGAATCTCCTCCATGCTCTCATGCTACTGACAATGCCTCATTCTTCTCCCAGCACACTAGCACAAAGTGTCAGGGTCCCATTTGTTGCCTTTCCCTCTCCCTCAAATCCAATCACTCAATCCTGCAGGATTTCTTGGCAAGACCCCTCTCCCTCTCTACTGCCACTGCCTTGATTCACATCCTAAGCTACCTCCATGGGTTATTCCAACAGCATACTCCACAGGAGGTTGCTTCCTGTCTTTCCATGCTGTCCTTGCCAGCCCTGGATCATCCTGAAAGCAGAGATTTCTCCAGGTCTTTTCCACACTGAAAGATCTTCAGTGTCACGGGAATTAAAATTTCAATTCTTAAGCCGCAGAGTTCAAGGCCTTCCAAGACCTCACCCCAGCCTGACTCCAGTCTCACCTCGCCCAGTGTCCCCTCCCCACCCCACCCTCTGACTCTAGCCCTATGGGCCACTCCTCACTGGGCCTGTCCCAGACTTTCAGGTTGTCTTCTTGCTTCTTCCCTCATCTCTGGTGCAAAATGGCCTACCCCTCTCCCCCTCTTCCAGGGCAAACACAGCAAAAACAGCCAGCTCAGGGTCTGTGTTTACCACAAACTCTTCCTGCACATCTGCTAAGTGTAGGGCTGCACCCAAGGGCTGATGCAGGCCTGAAGCAGCTGCAGTCTGGAGCGGGTGTGGACAGAGATAATGCAAATGAAGTGCCTAAGTATCACAGCTGAGTTCTCTATGTATGCCCCAGAGAGAAGAGTCCAAGTGCCTTGGAGATGGGAGGAAGAGAGGGGCTTCAAGGGTTTGATTTGCATCCTGAAGTTTTAATAAGAGTTCATTCATCTTACAGAGTGAGACCTTTCCAGGAAGACCTTTCCAGGAAGAGCACATAGCATGTGCAAAGACGGAGAGACGCATAAGACAGAAACTGGTGAGCTACTCAGTTTGGGGAATAGTGGGGATACAGCTGTGAACTACAGTACTGCCAGCCGTTGCAGGGCCTTCAGTGCCAGACAAGGATGCTACACTTTATCCTATCAAGGAGGCAATCCTACCCCATCTTGTGGCGACCTTCCATCCACAGGTATATTCCAGGGCCCAGATGACTGCACCACGTGGAACATGGTGATTTAAGAGCCTGCATCTCTGTGTGTATAAGCATGGATGTGACAGACAGAGGAAATGAAAGCAAGAATTAGAGAGGACCCCAAAATAGGAATTACCTTGGAGTACAAAGTAGAAGTCATGGGTTTCCTGAAAACAAACTGACAGTTCACGGAACCCTGGAAAATTACAAGGCCGGAAGGAGATCTGGGTCTGAAGCGAAAGGATTGCTCTAGGATAGCATCTCCTAGATTCTTTACTGAGTGTGTCAGAGATAAGAATGGATGTCGTGAAGATCCCCAAGGGCGAGTTAAGACCAGGCTTTCAGAGTCTAAAAGGGATACAGCCCGCCCTTCTGAGACCACCTGTGGATTTTTGGAAAACTGAGACCCAGAGGTGCCACCAAGTGTTGAAACCGAAGAATGACACCAGGAAACAAAGTGGAACGGCTCTGAGGAGGAAGCAGGAAAAACAGTGACTCGGGACAACACCAAGCTGCCAAAAGCTGCAGTCTAGTTGTGCCCACACCAAGTGGTGACAATGTCACATCTTCCCCCGCCCCCCCCACCAGGGGTCACTTCTTGAATGGGGCGCAGTCTGGGAATTTACTAAATGTTTAGATGGTTCGTTAGCTGCGTTCATACTAGCTTTTCCTTCTCCTGTGTTGCAAAAGGGGAGCCACCAGAGGATGTAGAGCAGGGAAGCGTTATGAACAGATCTGTATTTCAGGAAAAAAATTTTTTTCAATGGCTACGTCAAAACCAATTTCCAAATTTTACAACAAATGTTATAGCCTGAAGGGCATGCCATTCTTCTCCAAAACTGAATTCTCTCAGAATTATTTGCCCCTCCTCACTTCTACAAGCTGTACAGTCACTCTAAAGACAGACACCAGCACTCCCTGAACCCTTGGCCATAGATTCCATCTCTCTAGAGTCTCTCCTACCTGTCCCACTCTTTCAGGCCCAATAGAAGGCCTTCCCATTTCTATCCTGATTGACCATCAATGTCCTAACTAGACACCCCCTCCCTGTGCCTCCTCCCTCCATCCCCACTCCTTCCCACAGCACAGCCACAGTGGGCTTGAGCAGGCCCCACCTTGGCCTTCACTGGAATCCCCTGGGGAAACTTGGAAACACCACACCAGACCCACTTCATTCCAAATAGTTTAAAAGCCCCCCAGGTTTGCAAACAATGGCCCTTATCCTTGCCAGAGACAGTGAAGGGCACTACCCTAGAACTTTTTAGAAATGTAGGTCAGATCCCACTGGCAGACCTAGGAATCAGAATCTGCATTTGAACAAGATCCCCTAGTGCTCTTAAGCTTGTTATAGGTTGAGAAGCTCAGCTCTAACGTGTTGCCTGATCACTCAGTTCACAAATATTTACTGGATTTTCTCCACATCAGGCCAGGGGTTAGGGCGGCCAAGGACCAAGGTCTGGGACTTTGAGAAGATCACCAAGAACCATCAGTCAATCCCTTGCTTAAAATCTCTCATTGGCTACCATGTTTTCCAATTCCAGACTTCTGCACCTGACTTTCAAGGCCCACTGGGGCCATGCTTCATCCTTGTCACCAGCTTTACTGCCCAGTACTCAGCCTGGGAACCCAGTTGGGCCACTTGCCACTTCTCACGGCTAGCTGGTGTTTGCCTGCCTACACAGCTCTCAGCCCACACCACGCTCTACCCGCCTCTGCCTGGAGACACCCGCCCAGGAGAAATCCTCTGACATTCATCACACAAGTCATCCACTCCTTGAAATTATCCCAGATCTTCCCTGGTCAGATGAAAGATGGGAATTCCTGCGGCACCTGAGTGGCTCAGTCTGTTAAGCATCTGCCTTCTGTTCAGGTCATGATCCCAGGGATCTGGGACTGTACCACACTGGGTTCCCTGCTCAGTGGGGAACCTGCTTCATCCTCTCCCTCTGCTGCTCGCCACCCCCACTTGTTCTCCTTCTCTCTCTCAAATAAATAAATAAAATCTTAAAAAAAAAAAGAAAGATAGGAATTGCCACAACTCTTTCCTCTTCCCTCTCTCGTGGCATTTATCTCACTCATTCTGCTTAGTCTTAGCGCCACCACACCTGCCACAGCTGTCCCAGCAGAGATCATGATTCTCAGTTTGTCTCCTCAGTATTATATGCAATAAATGCATTAATATAAATATTAAATTAATATAGTTATATTACAAATAATATAATATAATTATATGATATATTATCTATAATGTAATATAAAATATTAAATTAATATAAATATTAAATACAAAATGTATTATAATACAATAATAATAACTGGCACATCATCAAATCTCTAAGTAAGAATAATAATAATAAATGTGTTGATAAAATCATGGATGAATGGAGTAAATGAGAAATTCATCTCTCTCATTTCCCACCTCAAGGTCATTTAAATATGAATTTAAGCAGAATACTAATGGGCTGCCTCTCAAGTCCCAAAGAAAAACAATCTCTAAATTAAATGCTATTTTGTGTTTTCTATATTCTCTCTCTATATATATATTCCATATATTGCTATATTCTATATTTTCTATATTATAATCAAAGACGGAACATACTGAAGATGAATTTTGTGCACAGCCAACTACCTTTCTGTAGTTGGGCATTTAACTTCACAAAATGCAACATAAAATTTGTAAACACTTGAGATTTGTATTATAATCAGTTAAGGAACTGGGAAAGGAAAGAAACAGATGAAGAGAAAGATAGGATGTGGACTTAGAAATATGGAAAAAGGGACGGACCTATACGACATAACCAGCTGCTCTATAAGTAGAAATACAATACTCTGGGTCTGTTTTTTAAGAGGATTAAAGACTAGCTGGAATCCTTGTTTCAATCCCCTGCAAACTTTGGAAATTCTACTTTTTCAAAACATATAATCGTATTTTCACTTGAAGAAAAACTGCAGGTCTGGAGATGGGATGTCATGAGGGAGAGGAGGAGCCCACTTTCAACTAGCACCTTCCCCATCTGGCAGTCTATTGGGACGCAGTGTCTTGAGATTTGGGGCACGTTGCGTTTTCGCAATTACAGAGCTGGTCTCAGTCAAGGCGTTGCATCTGAACACACTCGAACAGAGATGTTTGGGCAAACAGACCCTAAACCGGCCGACCACCGCGGGCTCTCTATATTACGCCGGTGCTTCGCTGACATACCGCACAGAAATGAGGTGACTGGCCATCCCGCACCTCCAGGGTCAAGCTGGCACCTGCAAGGGCGCGCGGACTGTCTGTAAATTCCGGGCAGGTTTAGGTGGAAATTCGGAGCAAATCCGCAGGAGTTATACCCTCCTCCCAGAATTCTGGCCAGGGAAGAGGAAGAGGGTTCCTGTTCTCTCGCCTGGGACACGCTCTGGGGCCCTCACTGGCACTGACTCCCACTCCTCGGATGGTTCTTGAATCTGGGGGCTTTCGGTTCCCCAGGCAATGGACCCGCGGGGACTCCCGGTCTGGAACGCGCAGGGGACGTGGGGCGTGGGGAGAGCCCACTGACCTGGGTGCAGGGCTCCTGTCCGGGCGGCTCAGGTGTGCGGGCCGCTCCCGTGTCCCTCCCACCTCCGAACATGAGAGGCGAAAAGCGAGCTGCAGGCCACTGACCCACCGACCAACTGACCGACCAACCAGCGGACCGAGCGGCAGCGGCCGGGTCTGGAGCCCACGTGACGGGGGCGGGACCCACGGGAGGCTTGTCCCGGAGCGCCGGCTTTCTCCCGCCCTCCTTCCCTTGGGACCGCCCCTCAACTCCCCTTCCCTCTTCCGTGGCGCTGCAGCCGGCAGGGACCCGTCCGCCACGGGTTCCCTTTCCTCTGAGACCTGCCTCTTCAACCCCACCCCTTCGAACCTGCTTTCGCCCCGTCTGCCCAGCCGCGGCCCCGCCCCCTGGAACGTGTTTAGAGTCCGCAAGCCCCGCCTCCCAAGAGGCTCCGCCCCAATAGGCCCCGCCCCACTCCTGTCACCTCCCTCTCCTGCACCCTTCCGGCCCCGGGGAGACCGACGGGGGGGTGCCGGCGCTAAGTGCTGCCAGTCCGCTGGGCTTTTCCAGCCCGTCAGCATCGTTCCCCAGCCGTAGGAAATGGAAAGGAGGAAACAGAAAAGCAATTTGTATCGAGAACTGCAAACAGAGAAAAGCCATAGGAAGACCGATTAGAGGCGTACTCAGATCAGCAACCCTTTGGGTGTTCGGAGCCCCCCCCCCTCGCCTGGCACCGCGCCGACCCGTGCGACGCAGTCCAAATTGAGGTTGGCCCGAGCTCTGCCTCATTCCCGGTCTTTACAAACAACCCGTTTGGAAGGCTCTGAGTCAACCTAGCTAGCGTCTGGGCGCGCTTGAACCCCGCTATCTGGAGTGGAGTTCCCCCTAGTGGTCAGCCCCAACCAAAGACTTTTGCTCTGGGTCTTGGGAACAGCTAAGGACAAGAAGCACTTCCCTAATGGCTCAGCACCAAGGCGGCGTTCCCCAGACAAGAGAAAAGCTTTGGCACCTAGGACCACTTGAACAGGAGTAGATTCTAGAATCAGGGCAGGACTGGATCCTGGAGACTCAGTCCAACGCCTTCCCCCAGTGTATGGCCTGAATCCCCCTTGACTGTACTGCTAGGTTGTTGCCTTGTCTGGGCCTCCCAGGACAGGTTGCCCAATTCAGCTGATTAAAATCCCTGTGGGCCGCAGATGGCATTGACACCGCAGACTCTGTCTGGCACAGTCCCCAGGTCTGGCAGGAGTCACCACAGCCCGGGCCTCAGTTTTAATCTACATTTCTACAGGTTGGACAAACTCCACAAGACACATCTTTTTTCAAATTACCCTGGCTGTCTGAAATTACCAGAGCGCCCGGAAGACTTTTACGTGTGAACAGAACTTAAGCCACCCCAGCAAATATGAGACTCTGGTCACTGTAGGAAAGTGGCCAGAAGCAGACCAAAGGCAAAGCCAGCAGAGGAAGGCTGGGGCCCACGAGAGTTGTGTTACAGCAGGACACCCTTCAGTTCTCTTTCACTTCCTTAAAATAGCAGCATAGGCTTTTGTAGACCTAGGCGCTCTGGTTCACACGAGTTCATGGGTGTTTCCAAATCCCACAGGTTACTGCCCCAGCGGACACACTGTCCTAACGATAGCCCCTAGAAAATGTGAATCTGTTCTAAGAACTACACAACTACTTTTTATAAAAATTATCTTAAAAAATGGTGTAAGTCCCTGGCTCTCAAGCTTCTTCACACTTTTGAACCATTTGGGGGGAGGGAGCTTAAAACTAGGGCTGTCTCGGTCCTACCTCCTCTGGGAGTATGGCCTGGTATTAGGATCTTTAAAAGTTCCTCAGGTGATTCTTACGCGTGGTCAAATTTAAGAACCACTGCCATAGGTCATAGGGACTTTCATCCTAAGATCTGACAAGAGACCCCAGAGCTGAACAGTTCACCAAAAAGAAGCCCGAAATGGTGCTTATGGGCCCGCATGCTGTCCTGCCCTGAATCCCTGGAAAAAAAGTGGCCCATTAACAGGGAGACAACGTCTTGACTTGAAACGTGATTCTAGCTGCAGGAATTTAAAGCACCCGTGTGGGTCATTAGTGGCAGGCAGCGTACTCTTCAGAGCTGTCGAATCCAGGTGTATCACAGATAAAAGGCAACCCTCCTCTGGGCGCATAAAGAACTCTGAGTGCGGGACCCACACATAATTCCACTCACCAAGAATCCCACTTAACCCTCCCCCTGAGGCAGCCCACATGCCTTATACCAGTGAAATAGGTCGTGTTATTTTACCCCCCAGGGTAGACAATGTCTGTAAACCCTTGGAGTGGGCCCCATGGCCATGTTTATGTATCCATACCTGCGTCCTTCCACAACAGATGGGGGCTGCGGGGCTTCTAGAACTGTGGGTAATTGTGCTGCAAGCACGGGGTGAGGGATTCTATTCTGCCAAAGCTCTACGCAAATGCTCTGGGGGAAAAACGTCTCTTCATTGCCCGTGGTCCCACCCTGAGCTTGGCAGAGTTGGCAAAACAGCTGCAAGCACACAAAACAAGCCCTCTCATGTGACTAACCTGGAAAGACAGAGGCCTCGGCACATGACACGGGCTGGCACCACAGCCCGCGCGGGTGACCCACACTGGGCTGAAGTGGACAAACGTGTGGGAAAGATTTAAAGAAGCCCCTCTGCAGCAGCACAGCTATCCTCTGTCACCCGTGCCACTTGGCATGCCTGCTGTGACAGGGAGTCACTGGCCCGCGACCTGGCTTCTATCCAGATTCCAGAAACTTTCCCTCCCCAGGTCTCGGTGTGCTGGGGAGCTGAGCGCTTCCTGCCAGCTTGTCTGCTGAGGGCACACACGCAAGTCTCCCCTGATGAGGCTTATTTGCTTAGTGTTGGTTTTATTGTGTTTCCAGCTAGTAAAGAGACAGAGGGGAAGTTAAGAAAAGATGAGGCTACAGGTGGGGTCCTCACCCTTAGGCTGTAGGCTTGTTTTCTGGAGGAAGTAGCTTTGGAAGGGCTTTCCGGAATGTCTTGTGCAGACATGAAAACCGGCCGCAGGGGGCAGACCATGATTTTTTAGGATGAGACCCTGAGTGTATTGCTTAGAAAAGGCTGGGTGAACAAACATCGCATGTGATGCTCCCTTGGGCAATGGGAAGACTATGGGATTTGCAGTATTTTCAAGCCCTATTCTCATTCTGAGGCTGTGTTCCTCTGAATGGCTCATCTAGACTTCTCTCATCTCTACAATGGCAAGTATAAAAGACCTCTTCTGCACAGTCTCACAGGGTGGCATGAAAATTAAATGATGCAGATGGGAGCAAACACTTTGGAACTGGCAAGTGGTATTCAAATGTGAGCGGTTTTACTTTCCTCTTGTATCTCTTCAGCTTGGTAAAGGGGCAGAGCTGGGGGACATAGTAAACATCATAGGAAATTGTACTTTAGCTGGGTGGTGGAAAATGGAAGAATACCAATAGGCATTTAAGAAAGGGGAAAGAGTGTAAGGAAAGGTCAGGACGGAGCCAGGAGTATTATGAAGTGGGCTATGTTTCTAATTGTTGGCAGGGGAGGGGGCTGGGAGGTAGGGGTAAGGGAAAGTCTGGACATAAGCTGGATCAGCACTTGGAGGGCCTTGAGAGCCAGGAGGTTTGGGTGGGTTACGGAAGTTGAAAATTTCCAAATGACAGACTCTCATCTATGCTCTTGGATGATAACTCAGGCCATAACATCCAGCGGGGAGGATGCACACACAAGCCCAGTTCTAGGCTCTATCCCTGTATGCGATCAGAGGGATACTGTACTGCAAAGGGGCTATGGCCTCCGTGTCCCAGAGAGCAGTGTCCGCAGCCTCAGTGCTCTCCCTCCTTGCTGTACTGCATTACTCCAGAAGCTGCTTTCTCTTTGTCTGGAGTTTGTAAATGATCTGGTTTCCATCATTCCAGGCATAGAGCTGCTTATCTCTGGGGTTGTAATGGATCACGGAATGACTTCTCGGCCGCCTGGGGAAGAACAGTTTGGGCAGATCGTCCTCACTGACAGTGCCCAGCGGATCATAGACACAGGTGATGCGGTGAGGGCCATGGCCGCCAGAGCTATAGACCACATAGAGAACCCCACACAAAAGGAAGGAGGCTTCAGCATCCTGGCTCCTACATGGAGTGTCCCATGAGTGTTCCACTCCCAGTGTGCCAGGTTCAATTTTTGTGAGAACCAAATGGCCATAGACACCTGGCCCTGAGTGGATGGCCCAGAGCCCATGCTCGTCCACAGCCAGGTCAATGTATGTCGACGGGGAGTGCTGGTAGACCAGTGCTCGGCCCGCCCCTCCTGGCAGCAACATTCGATCTTCCACAGTCCTCTTCTGCAGATTATATTTGATGATCTCATTGAGAGTCCCTTGGTTGTGAAAAAACAGAAAACCTCTGTGGATCACTTGGCCCGTTCCCTGCCAGGAATGTGTTAGGATTAGCTTCCGTGGGGCTGGCTTGGTGCTATCCTCCATGAATGCCCGCATGTTTGCAAATTCCCAAACAGTTTTGTTTCTGGATCCAACTAGGAAATAAACCTTTTGGGAACTGCTGACAGCATCTTTCATCCAAGAGCCGTGTGTGTCCATAGTCTTCTTCACTATTTTCAGAGACTTTATGCCCATCAGCATGTTGTCACAGCCTGGCCAAACAGGAGAAAAAGAAGAGGTACTTTATGGACATGAGATGTCTGCTTTTCTCACAGATTACTTTTGTATTTTCTGTTTATCGAAGCATAGTTGACATATAATGTTACAATAGTTTCACGTGTACAACACAGTGATTCAACTTCTATGTTATGCTTGCTCACAATGGTAGCTACCGTGTTTCACCATACAACACGACAACAATGCCATTGACTATATTCCCTATACGATGCCTTTTATCCCTATTCATTCATTTTGTAACTGGAAGCCTGTCCCTCCCACTTGCCTTCACCCATTTTGTTCCCCCAAAACAACAACTAGTTTGTTCTCTGTATTTTTTGGGTCTGTTTCTGTCCTTTTTTTTTTTTTTTTTTTTTTTTTAGGTTCCACATATAAGCAAAATCATACAGCATCTTCCTCTACCCTATTTCACTTAGCATAACACCCTCCGGGTCTGTCCACGTTGTCACAAATGGCAAGACTGCATTCTTTATGACAGAGTAACATTCCATATATACCACATCTTCTTATCCACTCGTCTATTGATGGACACTTAAGTTGCTCCTATGTTTTGGCTGTTGTAAATAAGGTGCAATTAACAAAGGGATGCATGTATCATTTAA